CTATATGTCTGCACTGAATATTGGTCAAGTGCCCTTACAGTTGTAATTATAGTTCAGTGAAAAATCTGTGTGTGGCTCAGAGACACCAAGCTTCAGACTTTAAGTAACTGTAGGAGGCAAGCTATAACAGTTTTGTACATGAAGACAGTGAGGTCCTAATGGAATGGAAGGAGCACTGGATTAGGAGTCAAAAGATCAGGATCATTCTACCTGTCAGCACTCAGCATCACCTTGGTCAAGATATGTTTTTCTTGTTTTTCCTCAACAGGGAAAGTGGAGAGATGGATTATATCTTTCAGATCCCAAATGAAATGAGCCAGTGCCTTTCAGTGCATTGTAATGGGATTGCCTTGTACAAAAAAATAGCTTAGAGCCAGCAGAGGGAGCACAGAGCATGAATTTATGCCTGGATCCTGGGAAAATTGGGGAGACATATGTGGTTAAACATTAACTACAGTTCTTAAAAAAACGAGATTATTTCTTATCAAGTTATGCCCAACTTGATCTGAGCTATAATATTATCCTGAAATAGTGACATTTTTACAACTACTGGTAAAATTTTACCTCTGTAATTATTGGTAGTTAAATAGAACTTTGTTCTAAAAAGACATTTAAAAATGGTTATTTGTGGGGATCACTATGGTTTATGTTCTGTATTGTTAAATATATTTTAATTTAAAAACATTTGTAATTTCATCATATCAGAAATATTCTGGTTGATACTGTAGTAAATCCTGTTTGGACTTAGCTCAGAACTAAAAGGGACTGTAGCTTCAAATATTACAGGCTTTTAAAATCCCATTTAAGTGATACCTCATTTATCTAGCAACCCTGAGAATTATGGAGTTCCACATATTTTCCAGATAACAAAAGTATGTTTTATGAAAGCACTATCTTAAAAAATGCTCTAAAGTATTTCAGCCAAGACATCTTGCTGTTACAGACTCACAAGTTTATAAGTACAAGACTTGGTGCATGTTTGCATCCATTTCTGGAGGCTGCAGGGATATTGCCATGACTTGGACTATTGTACTAAACAATAATGAAATATTGAGTTTGCTTCCACTTTGATCTCAAAATCTTTTCTTGTTGTTGTTGGGGTTTTTTTTGGGGGGGGGTTCCCCATTTCCATATATTTCCGTCCTGGTTTCCTCTTCTTCATTGATTTTATTATGTAGAAGTTTTGGTTGAGGAAGGTACTAACTTAGCTTGTGTAGAATCGTGTTAAATCAGGTTCATAAGACTCAGAGTTGAATTCACAGCTCTCTCTTGGGCATTGATAACCACTTCATGCGAGGAAATCTTTCTCTGTTTGTGGTTTGGGTTTATGGCTTTAGACGAGGGAAAGGAGACTGGCCTATATTTGAGGATGAGTCTGTGGTAGAGGTGGGTTTTCTGTGAAGTTACTATAAATACACATATTTAATTTGTTGGGTTTGTAAGATGTATGAAAAGTAAGTCAAAATTAGGGAAAGTTTTTCTTCTGAGATAATAAATTAAATTACCAAGGTTTTAGTTTACTTGGGTCATTCTTACTAAATAGCATTTCTGACCAAATTTAGTCAAAATTAGAAAAATCTGCTTAATAATCCTTTTACTTATTAGATATTTTCCCACTGAATTACTTTAAAGTTAAAAACAAAAAAATTTGCATGAATGACTGTGAAAAATACAAGTAATTGTAACCCTAATGATTGAATCTCTTTTATTTTCACTCACTTGCGTTTTTGGTATAACTACCAAATCATATATTGACAAGTCATGTATTTTAGCCATTATTTTAAAAATATTTTCACTCATAATAATTACTGTAACATTGTTTTTAAACATTTATTCATCTTTCAGTTTTCATTCTATGTCTTCCTTATTTAGTTACATTAACCAGGATAAATTCATTTCCAGGTATATTTATTGCTTTCCCTTTTTTGTTTGGGCATCCATTTATGCCTCTTAGTCTTGCCAAATACTATGCTACAACTGACCACCCAAGTTCTTTGTCTCAAAAACTTATGAAATTTCATTTATTCTAGGAAATGTATGGAAACCAATTAGAAGACTCTTTACTGATTTCCCTCTTTATACATTCCCATGTAAATTTGCATCATACACTATCCTAATTTACTTTTACCTTTTTACTTCCATAACCTTTAAGATAATTTGTACATTAAAAATATACACCCCCTAATGCACTTCACTAAAATGTTCAGTAATTCTTTTAATCAGCAGTTTTACTTCAAGGAATAGTCTCTCCCCTCTAGTAGACTAAAAATTGTGTACCAGGGCATTCATTGCAGTGCTATTTATAATACAAAAAACTGGGAACATTGCACTGATTGGTAGTGGTTAAATTAGGTATATTCATAAGCTTAGTATCAAGTAACTGGCACTAAATAATTGTTGACTGAATTAAGAAATATATTGTTAAGTAGAAAAAGTTCAGGTACAGAACAGTTTATATTTTGTGGAATAAAAAGAAGATGGATGTAAATGGACAGTATTCATTTATTCCTTGATGCATATAACATTTCTAGAATCATATACAATAAACTGCTAACATTAGTTACCAATGGGTGATAGGAATGGGCTTGAGTAGAAAGTACAGTATTTATTAACTCCAAAAAGGAAAAACAAAGCAAAGCAAGACTAACTTCAAATGGAGTTAATGAAGTTAACTTAGAAAAATGAAGTGATTGCAAAAAATGGACGTACCCTAATCGGTTGAATCTTGTTTTCTACTTTTTAGATAACATTTTCATTCCACTCTTCTTACTTTCCCATTTTGCCTGTGAATTGCCTTCTATTGAGAAATGCCTTTGCTCTTGCACAAATCTTTTCCCTTCAGGATTCTATGTAAGATCTAATGCCTTCATGGAACTTTGCTAGACTATTCCATTTTAAAGAAATCTGTCTCTTAGATATATACTTAGTTTTAATCAGTATACAATTTCATACTTATTCATTCAGTAATTATGTCACTTAATTATTTTTCTTCCAACTGTATTTAGGTATAGATTTAGAGAAGTTTCTTGCCTCTGTTAATTTGCTTTGGGCAACATCCAGCATTACCTACCAATTAGTGTTCAAGGAATTTTTATTCTTTATAATGTTAAAACTTAATCTAGAAAGAATGCCTAGTGACCTTGTTTTCAGTGAATATCCCATTTAAACCATCTTAAATAGTTAGCGATATTCCTAAAAAGATATTCAAAGTAATATTTTATTTAGCAGGATTTCACTAAGGCATACTAGAGTAATGTTTTTGACATTTTAAAAAATTACTAAAAATCATACCTCAAATTTATATGGAAAAGTGCATGGAATCAGAATTGCCTTTATTTTTAAGCTGTCATCTAACCCAAAGAGGAATTTATTACTCATTAGCTATAATAGCTTTAATATCATAAGCACATAATTATGTATATTTGAAGCATCCAGGATTGTTTTGTCTTCTTGGTAAATTGGCTTTTTTATCATTATAAAATATTTCTGTCTTTAATAATAATATTCTTGTTCTGAAACCTACCATGTCTAATATTAATTTTATTTATTTTAATTTAATTAATTTAGTTATTTTAATATAATTGGAGTCTCTGTTTTTGTTTTTGTTTTTGTTTTCAGTTTGTTTTCCTTGCTGTCTAAAGAACCACTCCAGCTTTCTTATGACTAGGATTTATACCATTTTTATATTGTTTTAATGTTAACTTATCTGTATCTTTAAATTTACAACTTACTTTTGTAAACAGCATGTAATTAGGTCTTGCTTATTATTTAGTTTGACAATCCCTGCCATTTCATTGGAGTGTTGAGCCATTTATATTTAATGTAAATTAGCTTTATCCTTTGAATATTGATCTTTTTAGATTTGTTAGGGTAAATTTGAGAATACAGTAATTATTACTCTGGGTTAGATGACCTCTGCTTCTAAAAGATGGTCTTTCTGAGAATTCAACTGAATGCCCATGTTAGTTTTATCCACTCTGGCTGGTGGGAACTCCAGTATTCCTCAGCTTTTTATGACCTCCAAAAATCCCTGTGCAGTTTTGAGCTCCTGGGTAGTTTAACCGCCGCACTTTGTAGGGTTTTTCTCTGTACTTTACAGCTTAGTGTTTAGCCAAACACTAAGGAAGAGCCTTTGGCGGATTTCTGGACTCCCTCTCGCATTTCTCTTCCATCTAATATCTGCCCTGCAAGTTCTAGCTGCCGCAGCAGCCTCAAATTCATATCCCTGTCTTATCAGCTCAGCACAATATTATTGAGTGTACTGTTTGGGTTCCACTATTCTGAACTACAGTCTGGAATGTTCCTCTAGGCAGAAACTCACCATATATAGATTTCTCTTCTTTTAGGGGTCAGAATCTTGCACCTCAGATGTTGTATAACATCTGAAAACAGTGGTTTCATATATGTTGTCCAGTTTCTTAGTTGTTTTCAACAAAAGAGTTATCCAGTACCAGGTAGTTCATCATTGTCAGGGGCAGAAATCTTATAATATGTATATTCAAAGTTGTTCTTTTAGAGAAATAAAAATATAAAGCTATAAAATTAAATCATAGACTCTATTATATTAAATAATCTAATCCAACACAGTTAATTAAAAGATAAGAAAATTGAGATAAAACAAGCTAATGTGACTTGTGATAAATTGCACTGTGAGTTACTCATAAAGTCATTTCATAACCCAGGTTTTCTAAATGTTTGTCTACTGTTTTTCCCACTTTAGTAATCTTCTGAAAATTTCTTAGATGTTTGAAATATAATTTTAACTTGTCAATTTTTTTATACTTCAGAACCCTTATACTTTAAACATTCTTCTCATTTCATTTTTGTCCTATCAGTAGCATTGTTAATCTTGCTATTAATACAAGCATGAAAAAAAGAATCCTTACAAATGTGTTTTAGAATGATTCTGTGGAAATATATAATTCCATGTAAGACCTAGCAAAGAAGACACTTAATTATTTTAATATAATTGGAGTCTCTGTTTTTGTTTTTGTTTTCAGTTTGTTTTCCTTGCTGTCTAAAAAACACAACAAAGTTCTGGAACAAGCTACACAGTCCTTGAGAGGTTCGCTAAGTTCCAATGATGTTCCTCTACCAGATTATGTAAGTAGTTACCGTTACTTTGTCAATAAAAAAGTTTCCCTTTCATTGCTAAATGTGTAAATAACAATACCTCTCTCTTCTCAAGATCTGCCTGTGATCCTGGTGCCCTAGAAATCTCGAATGCACAAATGAATGACTGACATCATAAGTCAAGGGAAAACATTTTAATGATTAACAAATGGTTGAAGAAAATCAACCTAAACCAATGATTTTTTTATAATTAGAACTCTTATTACCTTAGTCAAGAAACCCTCTCAAAGGAATAACAGAAAAATAAAAGGAGAGTTTTTATAGGAAGTATGCAAAAGTTTCTCACTCAAGGGGAGGACCTACACACGGATTTCATAGAGAACAAGAACCTGATATTGGAAAGCTATTGTATTCAAGAATATACTGTCTTTCTGAGGTCCTTTCATTTCTGTTCTCTGCTGATTTTTGCTTCAGTTTTATTCTTCTGCTTACTCGAGGCCAGGTTTCTCCATTTGCTGACTGAAATAGCAACCCCAACCCTTCCTCTTCTACCTCCTGAGCCATAGCATGTCTTTGTGTGTGTCCCGCCATTAGCACACTGAGCAGAGTCTTCAAGTCCTGGGACAGAGACTCTAATTGGCTCTGCCCAGGTCAGGTGCTGCTCTAGCCCTGTCAGCCATGTCAGCAGAGAACAGCAGGAACATCTGCCTTGGTTCTTCCACTTTAAAGATGAAGAGCCTGATACCACGTGATAGAATCATCATAAGTAATAGGAGGTGAATGCATTATGAGTTCAGAGATAGGGCAGTGCCACTATCTGTGACATTTCTTATATTTTGGAACATGGCGTAGTTGAGGATGCTCAAAATTATCTTGTTATAAACCACAGAAGTAGTTCATCAAGCTCTATCTAATAGGACCTCTCTGAATCCCCAGACTACAACTTAGTGGGTTGATATTTAGAAACTTAATGAGAGAATTTTTAGATTCTGATTTTGAAGTAGCAATGCAGACCAGACAGCCAGAGAGTTGTTTTGCTTATTTCCTGTGGTTTGTTTCATTTCTAAATGGTTGTGCTGATATGAGACTGTGGGAACAGCACCCAGTCCGGATAGCAGTCACTGATAATCAGAGATAGCTGTGTGCAGCCACAGCCTGACTAGGCTATTTTTCTTCTCGTTTATTTATTTTGTGTGTGTGTGTGAGTGTGTGTGTGATAGGATCTGTCATCCCATTAAGGTATTAAGATTATAATTCCAAAGTACTTCTCTCTCTCTCTTCTCTCTCTCTCTTCTCTCTCTCTCTTCTCTTCTCTCTCTCTCTCTCTCTCTCTCTCTCTCTCTCTCTCTCACACACACACACACACACACACACACACACAAAACATTTATCTTGTATGGTCTTCCTGTTAGTTGAATATTCTCAACTTTTAAAAAATTAGTATAATAGCGCACTTACTTCTATCCTTGCCATGACTTGTTATAAGGAAACTGTGTCTTCTTAATGGCTGCTTGCAATCCTGTAAAGCTCAGCATGGCAGTGCGGATTGTGCTTTTTAGGAGTTTGAACTTGGTTTATCTCTAAGTGTTTTGTTATTTTTGTACAATTATCATTTGATTTACGTAGTATTTCTCTGTTGTTACTCCACACAAAAAAATGTATACACTCTTGAGATTGCCTTAGCAGCATTCCCCTTGAATAAGAATCCATAAAATGATATTTCTTTGAGAAAACGGGTCATATTTCATAGTATTTGCCAATTATGGAGGTGATGGTGCAATGAGGGGATGCTGAACTCTAACAGACATATGAATTCTCTTATTGAACATCACAGTTTTTAGAGTCCCTGACTGTTTTCTTCTCACATGAAATTTTCACTGAGTAAACATGAATTTCTTAAAGCATCTGCTTCCTAGAAATACTGGGAAAATTCCATTTGGAATCTGTCATTAACTATCCTCATTTTAATATGAACTTGAATTTTGTTGCCTTTCCTCAGAGTTAATTAAAGAGGTGGGTACCACTGATTCAGCACTAGTGATGATAGCTGACTCACTACTCCTCTCCTCTGCCACGGGGCTGAAGGTGATTGAAGAAAACAGCGACCTTAAAAGTTAGCGCTGCCCTATGTTCTTCTTAGTGTGTGTTTTTATTCACCATAACTCAGTGTGTGTTTTTATTCACCAGTCCCATTGCTCAAACACTATGAGTAAGTGTTTTACACCTTTGAAACCATGTCTTCATTGTCATTTCTTTTAAATTCGTCATTAACTGGGAAATAAGATATATTCCTCCCTCTTCTTCCCCAGAAATTTTACTTAAGTGTCTTTGCCAACCAACCACCACATAAAATTCTGTGATAAAAAAGAAAATGGAAGGGTCTTAAGGCAGCCGTTGGCTCCCTGATGTATACTTGCTACACCAGATTGGATAAACCATATTAGCACAGATTTTGAATAAAGTGCTTAAAATAAGGATATGTTTTTATTCTCACTGTAGTACATAGAGTACTTTCAGTCTACCTAGAGGTTTCTGAGTTTATTAAGAAAATGTTTATTCTCATTATACTGTATAATTCACAAGCCAATTGAATAACAACATAGAAAGCAAATAACAAGTTACAAAAACATTAGTATTATTACTCTAGTACAACCATGTTTGCCTAAATGTGTCAGGGGAAACCTCAAGCCTTCCACCACGTTGTAGATAAGGAGGAAGTGCCCTGGCTGCTTAAGGGAAATACAGATTACACTCAGGTCCTCTGTGGGGCGAGAGAGTGGTGGCTGGCTCTACAGGCTCTGTGGGGCAGTAAGGTGTTAGGAAGCAAGGGAAGTTCAGTTGACTTGGCTAAGCTTCAGTGTCTTTATATCAGGGTTTCATAAAATTTAATTCAGTGACTAAAGGGACAGAGGATTGTTAAAGAAGACTCAACAATTTTCTTTAGAACTCTGGTCATATACAGTAGAACCTCAATACAGAAAATAAAAGGAAAATAATAAATGATTTATACTTGCTTATTAAACTATAACCATGTTTTTTAATTATGAATATTGTCACAATGTCATATAAGCTTAGTTTTCCTAATTTCTAACAATCACCTTAGCAACTATTTAAGATTAGAAGAATCTAACTTGTATTCTAGGTGTAACCATACAGGACCAAGTTATATTTATTGCCCTTTGATCATCAAAGGATTTTTAAAAATATATTTTATTGATTTTTTTACCGAGGAACAGAGAGGGATAGAGAGTTAGAAACATTGATGAGAAAAAATCATCGATCAGCTGCCTGTTGCACACCCCCTACTGAGGATGTGCCTGTAACCAAGGTATTATACATGCCCTTGACCAGAATCGAACCTGGGACCCTTCAGTCCACAAGCTGACGCTCTATCCACTGAGCCAAACCAGTTTCGGCCATCAAAGGATTTTTTAATCTTTCCTTAGGACAGACTCTCCCATTTCATTCCAAGCAATAAAATGCAAAGACCCAAGCCAGAATGAGCAAGAGCCAGAATCAGAAAAACCCATTTCCTTTCCTTATTGCAAAGCTAAGCAACATTTTCCAACACCCTTGCATCTTGACAGGGGGTGGAGGGGAATGTTCGACTAGCTCTCAATGGGGGGATGTAGGTGGAAGTGCTATAACCACTGTACCATCTTACACCCTTCCCTTCCCCTCATCATCTGCTATCTAGATGTGGGAAATCCAGTGGGAGGGAGAATCTGATGTCTTAAAATCATCTCATGGAAGGCAAACTGGGTATGTTGGAATGTGATGCAAAGCAGCAATAAAGCTTTACTATATTAAAAAAAAAATCAGGAGAAACCAAGATGGCGTCATAGGTAAACACCTGAAATTGCTGCTTTGCATAACAACCTCAAAACTACTAAAAGACAAAACCGACATCATCCAGAACCACAGGAAGGCTGCTAAGTGGAAATTCTACAACTAAAAGGGAAGAGAAAAGCACACTGAGACTCAGAGGACCTGCAGAAGTAAAGTGCAGAGGTACAGAGGTGCGCACATGTGTGGAGAGGGCTGGCAACTGATTACGCGGCTGGCTTTTTCAATTCAGAGGGAGACACAAGATCCTGACTGCTCTGAACTCTAGTTCTGGGCAAGACTCTGGGGATCCAGACTCATATGGGGAGAAACTGGACTGTCTGGCTTCTGGCGGAACTCGAGGGTGGCTATCTCTCAGACATGCTTGCAGCGATTACCAAGGGACACTGAGACATGGGGGGCTCTTACGGCAGGGCTGACGGGAAGCTATTGCTGTTTACTCCACTCTGAGACTCGGCTGCATCCAACCTGTGTGCAGAGGCTTTTGCATATGAATGGCCAGGTCCTTTGAAGTCTAAACTTGCCTAGCAAACTGCAGCTGAGTCAGAGAGATCCAGAACATCCAAAAGAAGGCCCAAAGCCCCACAGCAGCTTGCATTGCTTCACAGCTGGGCCTCATGGGGGCACCTCCAAAACCCAAACAAAGAAGAGGAATCTGCAGATCCCTCTGTAGCTCCTGCTGGGTGGCCTCAGGCAGAGGCTAAATTAGCACCTCCTTGGAGATCCAAGAGCCATTGTACCCAGGGGTCAGAGTAGTACCATCCAGGTTACAACTCCTCAGATCCATTAGGGACACACTCACGGGGCAGACTCAGTGAGCACCAAAGGCCCACTAAACCAAGTCTTGCCTCATAAGGGTGTCTCCAGCACAGAAGTTCTCCCATTGTAGACACAGCTGATCCTCACAGCCAATTGGCCTGGAGGTCAATTCCTCCCATGATACCAATAACAAACAAGGCTTAACTACAACAAGACTGTGCACACAGCCCACAAAGGTGTGCACCAAGAATGTCCATCTCAGGTAACTGAAGAGGCTGGGCCACTGGGCCCTATAGGACACCTGGCACACAAAACCACTCAACTCAGGAAAGCAGCCAAAATGCAGAGACAAAGAAATAGGTCACAAATGAAGAAATGGAGGAAAGCTAACTACTGTATATAGAGTTCAAAAACCACGGTTGTAA